TGGGCCAGTTGATAGCAATAGAAATGTCATCAATATACCGTACATAAAAGCCAAAACTGTTATTTATTTGTTTTGTAATACTTTGTTCAAAGAAATACATATAACAGTTGGCAATAGTCAATGTTAAAGGGGAACCCATTGCTCCTCCTTTTATTTGATGATAAAATTGGCCATCATATGTAAAATAATTATTTTGCATTACGAATCTTGCAAGTCGAATAATTGCTTCAATTTTTAAACCATTTACTTGTTTTAAATTAAAATAATCTAACATTCTTTTTAATGATAATACACCTTCGACTTGTGGAATCATTGTATAAAGATCAGCAACATCAATAGTACATAATAATGTTTATTGTTTCATATTATTGTTTGACCATTGTTGCAATTTTTTAATAAGTTCAAAGCCACAAGTAACAGTAGTATTAGCAGCCATTTTGTCAAACAATGGTCGTAAAAGATCATCAAGAAACTTAGAAATTTTTATTGTTGGATGTTTAAGACCTGCAGTAATTGGTCGAAGAGGAGTTTGCGGTTTATGAGGTTTTGGTAAATAATATAGATGAGCTAATTCAACTTCATCTTCTTTAATACAAAGTTGCTCATATTGTTTTTGTGTAATCCATTTAGCAAGACGTAATTCCAATAAGTATTTATTGGTACGTTGTATAAGATCAGGTAAAGGATCATGAGTACCAAGACATTGATAAGCATTGGTTTTATTCATATATTCGATAGATTTTCTTCGATAATCATCAATTTTACCTAAATGAAATACTTTAGATTTGTCAGTTTTTCTTATCACTGTATTTGTCAATCGAAATTTTAATTTTAATCTTTTAATTAATCGACGATAATTTATCTTCTTTGTAATCGATCGAATATTAATTTGAGGTTGACTTAAAATAATAATATCATTAGACTTATTTTGATTTATTGTACGATTCAAATGAAGACCATTATTAATAGTTGAAGTGTTATGAAGATTTTGAAGAAGAATATCTAATTCATCAATAAATAGTTGAACAGGACGACCGGGGCTAACTTTTTTCTCGAAAAATCGAGTTTCAATTTTTCGTCTAAGTGTAGCCAACTCAGTTTTACGTCGTCTTGATGCTGTTTGTGGATCATTGAATATAAATCGAGGGCCTAAATTTAATAATTGATATTCTTCTTCAGTTAATTTAATTTGTGGAACTTGATTAATTATGGTCGGACCGCGAAGTCCTCGCCCAACTGTCGAAGAAGATTCGCAGTAGTGAGTGGAGGATTTTCTTGAAAGTTGATGTCGTGAGGGTGTGGGTGTGGGTGGGTATAGAAAAGAATTCATTTAATAGCACAAGCTATGCTTACAACCGGTTTCGACCTTGCTTAAGGGTCATCTTCAGGTAAGTTTGGCTATTAAATTTTAAAGTGCTGCAGTTCGATTCTATCTACAAATTTGAGAGAGTAAAATGAAAGCCTAGCAAAGATCTAAACTTTCACTAAACTACCATCAATATATTGCAGGAGAATCACAATTATTTCTAAATTTTTGGCAAATTTCCGAAGAATTAATACCAAAAGTTTGAGAAATAAAAGAACTCGCAGCTAATTTATATTCTGAAATCATAAAATCCCAGAATATAAGGGTGTGTATAGAAAAGAATTCATTTAATAGCACAAGCTATGCTTACGACCGGTTTCGACCTTGGTTGGAATGCTTGGTGTTAACGCTGGACGGTTTCTGCTTATTGATTCCTTGGATTGTTGATGTGTCGTGTGCTTTTCTTTTTTCGAAGGTGGAAGTTGACGAAGTTTTTGAGAGAATTGGTCGTTGTGGAACGTAGAATGTTGGAAAATTTACTCAAGTCATCATCAAGTAACTCGTGAATTGGTAACATACGCTTAGTGTCAAGATTTGTGTTAGATTCATGTGTCTCGTCAATGATTGTTGGCTGAATGTTGTCAAACTCGATATTTGTGTCTTCGTCTTCATCTGTATCGTCACCATATTCATGATAGATCTCATCGCATCTATGAATATTTTGTTCAGCCTATAGTAAAATATGTTCTGGTAGAAAGTCATTGAAAGTCTTTAAAATAATACATACATCTTCGCCTGAAGCAGTCATTTCGCCGTCCAGAAATCAAGAAGTCAATCTAGAGAAGTATTGAAATCCGAAATTAGTAATGCAAAATTCTCTGAAATTGAATAATAAAAGAATAATTTTCTTAAACAAATTATATTAAAGATCGACCTATATCTCTCTCTAATAGAATTGCTTTCTAATAACCTACAAACGAACACAATTTATATAATATTTAGAAAGGAATCTGAAAATTCAGTTACAATATGTAAAAAAACGATATCGAATGTGTGAAATAAGTTCTTTTTCATAGATTGAATGAGTCTTATGCCGAGACAACAATTTTAGAGTTGTATATTTGCTTCGATGATAGTTCAATTGGATTTGTTGTCTGTTCGAAGTTTGGTGAAAGCACGAAGTTTTAATTTGTAGACAGATACAAGGTGTTCACTAATATTGTTGAAACGTTTTATCATAATATCGAACATAACTTTAGTTAATATTTTATCGGATAGATGTGTAGATTCATTTTCTTTTAATTTATTCATTGCATTATTAAACTCTAATCGACATTGATTTGCTCGAACTTCAGCAGCTTCAAGATAAACCTGTATCATATCAGCTTTTGTTCGTTGTAAAATTTTATCGTATCGATCTTTTAGAGATTGAGCTGTTTCCGTATCGATTATGGTATGTATTCGTCTAGGTATCGATATTTCGAGTGTATCAAATGATGTTGGTAGATGATTATGAGTGATACGCTGTTTTAATAGAGCAAGTTCTAGTTTTGATTTCTCCATATCAAATTTCGTTTGTGTAAGATATTGGAATAGGTGTTTCTAAATAGAAGAAGATAATTAGAAAATATAATGTTTTATACTGTTCCAAAACTTACTTGATACACATTTGAATTTTCACTATAGAATTCAAGTTCGGATAATCGATCAAAAAAATCATATTCAATACGGATGATTTCTTTTTCAATAGGTATTTGATATAGAATAATCTTATAGTCTTGAACAAATTTCGTAATAGTTTCTTCAATTCTACTTGTCCAGCGATTGCGTAAATGTCGCTTTTTCTCTTCTAATTGATTTTGGTAGTCGGACATCTTACTTCTATATTTGTCTAGAATTTTCTCTACGTATTTTACACACTCATCCTGATAGATTTCGTTCGGATGTGTGGCTTTCGTTTGATTTTCTGCAATCATTTTTAATTTTAGTTCACTAGGCCACATTGGTAGTGATGGTTGTTGATTTTCTACTAATGTACCCTGACCAGAACGTAAATATGTCGTATAAAGACGTTTTTCTAATTCAATACGTTGAAGTTGATCAATGAGAAATGCAATAGCTCGTAATTCTTCCGTATAAATAATAGTGCCAGTTTGTTGACGGAGACCGAGGATCATCCGATCGAATTCTTTACTTTCATGTGATAAATATTTTGGTAAAAATTGACTGGAGATGACGACGTTATCTGTTTTTATTCGCGATAGTACATCAGCTGCTCGAGTAGTACTTTCGGATTCTTGATGTGTAGCCGATAGATGGCTTAACTTTCCAGATAAATATTGTTGTTTTCCTTGTTCACCAACTGTTAAACCAAGTAAAATCTGATCTACCTTTGGACATTGCTCAATATCAAATAAATCATCATCATATTCTTTCACGAATTGCCTATGTCTCTTATCGAATTGAATATTTGTCTCGTCATCTGCATCAAAATCATCATGAAATTCCTGAAAAATATCTTCAATCTAAAATAGAAATGACACTTATGTATGCTTCTAATTGAATATGGTTCTACTTACATTTCCTTGTGCTAGACTCATTCCTTGATAAAAGCACAGAAAAATCTTTAAAATGATGTAAATATCTACAAATATTGACACAAGAAGAAGTGGTTCTATCTTAATAGGTGTGAAATTAACAAAAAAGGCATGAAATAAGAAAAGTCTATAATGTTTATTAAAAAGACCAATGTCCTTCTTGTCATATAGTTTATAATTACATATAATAGGGGTGTGGATGTATATAAAATTTATTTAGTAGCACAAGCTACTTACGACCGGTTTCGACCTTGTTTAAGGGTCATCTTCAGGTAAGTTCGGTTATTAAATTTTTAAAATACTGCAATTCAATCCGAACTTCAAATATATTTGAGCTAATTGACATGTAGATTTTAATTTTTGGAGCATTGTCTAACCATTTATAAGTTTTATGGCCATCATGAACTGATTTTGATAATATTTTTTTAAATTTTCGTTTCGATACTTTCAAATACTGAGATATGAATATGGACTTAAAACTTTTTGCTAATATCTTCGGTTGATCATTCAGTTCACGTATCATTTTTGATGAAACACTGTTGGATTGAACATTTTTCTTTCTCTTTTTTAATCATCCTTGTGAAATCGACAATCGACTCAGTGATTGACTTAAATGTCTCTCAATTTTTGTCAATGTATTGTGTTTATACTTCTTGGAATTGGCCTTAGGAATGATATTATTGAATGGAAGTTTCTAAACATAATAGAACAAGAAGATCATCAATACTATCATTTTTATTTTGTCTTCTAATCATTCTTCTTACCATTATTGGTTCGTCGTCTGGCATGTTGATGGTTTGATCATCAATTGGGTTTATTTCCATTGTTTTTTCATGAACAATCTGTTGTTGTTGTTGTTTTCCTTCAAGTCTTGTTTGTAGTAACAACGCCTTGGTCTCATCATCCAACTTTCGTCGATTTAATCTTCGTCGAAAATATTGATCTGCTCGACTACCGGGACTTTTCTTCTTTCTTTGTTTCGATGCTACTATTTGTTGCTGTTGTTGTTGTAGAGGAGGTAACACGTTGGGCTGTGTGCGTACTTGACTAGTCAAAAGTTCACTCCGCCAATGATCAAGATCATTGGGAAATCGATTTTGTGTCATTGTCCTCGTACGTAAAAAATCACAATGAATCGATATATATCTAAAAAGACAGCAAAACTAGTTAAAATCAGCTTAAATGATCGGATATTGAAAACAAAAAAAGCTTGGTTTTTTTTTGGTGTTCAAATCATCTATTCTATATTAAGACTTCTATAACACTAATCAACTAGTTCTACGACTAAGATAATTAAAACAAATAATGTTCATGTATCCGTGTAGTATTGGTAGATGTCGTTTGTTAAAGATGATGTATAGGATGGCATCCTACAGAACAAAAAAAAATAATAATAATAACAATAAGATATGATTACTGCCGAAAAGAAACAATTAAAAATCAAGTAATACGAACTCTTTTTGTTGACTTCACTTTTCAATAAAGTTAACAGACGAAGAGGTGGTCGTTTATTGACCAGAAAATCACTCTTTGCTGGAGGAATTGATGTTCGTTGTATCCATTTGATTTGTATATATTTCGTTTGTGATTCATTACCAAAATATTTCTTCCACAAATCTTGAAAACCTTGCTTGAAAATATCAAGCATTTCTTGATCAATAAAACGTGGAGACGGTAGGAATAATGTATATTTTTTTTGTCCTTCACGTTGTTGCTTCAATTTCATTTGTTCGTCAACATCTTGTATAATACGTTGACGTAAATGATTATATTCATCATCATCATTCAAAAATAATGAGAAGAATTTTTCTTGTACATCAAACTCTTGGTAAAAACGTTCGATATTAGAATCAATAAATTCTGGTGTGAAGCCCCATCTAAGAAATGATACTTGAATATGACATAGTTCATGATGAAATTTTTCAATATCAGAAGCACATCGAACAGCTCGATAGAGAACAGCATATAATTGTTTTGATTGGTTTTCCATTGGTGTATCGGATACATTAGGTAAAGTATCAATAGCTGGATCATAATAAATTTTACTTTCGAGAATACCATTATTATTCTTATAACTAATTTCAAGATCATGAAAATGAACTTTTGATCCAATAGATATTGTTACTGGATTTTGAGTATGTTCAATATCAATACTTTTCTTGAGTAATGTACGAAAGTGACCTTCGGATCCGTGCCATGTTACAATTGCTTGTTCTCGATATCTATCAAAAGAAATGACCGACAGAATAACCCATAACTATGGGATAAACTATCTAAGAATCGTACCTGCCAAAAAATGCATTTTTTTCTTTCAATGATTTTACAAGATCTCGATGTTGTCCATAAAACACGTTAATAAAGGTCAAGAACATAGTTAATGATAAACCAGAAGCACCACCATGAATTTGTTGATACAATGCATAATTGGGTGGGTGTGGGTGGGTGGGTGGGTGGGTGTGGGTGTTACTGTTATCATCGACATTTACATCGACATCCACACTCATTCACATTCACCCACGATCCACACAGCCATAACCACACCAACACACCCGCATCCCAATTCGGTCGAAATTCTATGAAAATAGTGTCAAAATGTTAACTTCGACATGCTCTTTCAATTGATATAATATTCAATAGGATTGGCCATAAAAAGTCCTAATGAGCAGATTTAGCTTCTTATGCGCCCCCTCCTTTATTGTTAGTAACACAATGAAACTTGGCTCAATTGCAAGTCTGTCACACATCTGCAATCAATCACTATATATCAATAAACAAATATTATTACGACCCATGTCAAAAATAGATCTTAATTGTACAACTGATTAATGTTTATCTTTCAGAAAACTTATACATCAAGTAGACATTGGTCCAGATGATGGGACTTTGATTGCCATTGCGCGATTGAGTTTATCGATGTCATTGATAAATATTTCTATCGAACAAAGCAAAAAAGTTGAATTTGTAATCAATGAATAATAACAAATTTTCATTTGACTATTTGTCAAGTTTGTTATAACATACATAAATTGTAACGGATGAAAATTAATGTATCAGTGAAAAATATATATAACAAAGTTAAAATTAATTCAGATTCTATCGATCAGATAGTTGAATACAATTGTGTAATATGTGCAAAATAGAAATTATACACAACTCGTTGTCTTTCTAATCGAAGACATTTCTATTTTATTTTATAGAAATTGATGATCCAAATTTTGGAATTTCTTTAATTATTGACTTTAGAAAATTTCATAGAATGATTTATGATTCTATTGACTATGTCTCTTTCTATAATAGCTGTGATATGTGTGAAAGAATTATTCACAAGTTGTGCTTTGCTTTTGAGAAACATTATTTAACAAGTTGCAACAATCTGTTATTAATTAGAATCTAGTGAATCGCAATTAGAATAAACGAGTCGAAGGACACAAAAACATCGTGTAAAAATATGTGAACAGCTATGGTATTGGATGTATGTCGATGTCTCACAGATTTTCCTATGTATATTTGACGTCAAAGACTCATAATCTTCAACTTGTATTTGAAAACTAGCCATGTCATCTGTGAATATCATCTTTATGATATACATAAGTCTTTCTTGAAGTCTTGTCCACATTTATAAATTAGGTGAGTCATCGCTCCAAGCAAATTATCTATTGAAATAGTTGAAGAGCTATATGGAAGCGACTTCGTCACTTCTGAGTCAGGTTACTTATTAATTTAAAGAAACGATCTTTTAAGGGAGCAACATAGCACAAAACACCACATATGCTTTCTGATGAAGATTTTCAATATTCGATGCTATTGGATTTCTACTTTTCTCTATATTTTCTCACCAAGGATTTGTTTTTTGAATTTTTCTCTTCTAAATTTTGACAGACATAGTATGATGAAGATGTATAAAATTTCCGTCAAAAGCATAGGAAATGGGATTTGAACACTGTATTCCAGTTACATATTCAATGCTTCAAATGGATAATATATTAGTAATGTGATGATTAAACAAATGAAGTTATATCATGAACTTTTTAGCATTTTTGTTCTTTTTTTAAAAGACAATATCGATGAACATGCAGCTTTAGACAACAAGAAATTGATATCAGCATAAAAGCAACAAAGACAAGACTGCTCAAGCTATTTAAATATCAATGCAAAAAAAAAGGCGAGAAAGCTTAGTGATTATATGAAGTTTCATAGTAAAAAGAGTAATTCAATATAGTATTTGATTGTTCAAATGTAAATCTGTCTATTATTTTTTAAATCATGATTGGGGAGTAACTCGACGAGAACGAAAATACTTTTTCATCAATCGACAAAACCTTATGACGTTCCAGGTAATGAATCGTAAGCCAATTGTAAGACCACCATAGAGACCAAGTATTGATGTAGCCACGTACAAGATATTATTGTGTGTAACATATTCAAAAGTGCAAGAAGTTGGTGCACATGCAGCAAAATAATCTTCATATGAAACTCTAGTTGTCCACTCTTCTATAAAGAATTCGTCCAAGAGCGTACCGATTGAAGTGTTTTTTGAAAAACGTGAAGGTGTCGAGTTGTCTAATGGAGATATATTCAAGGGCAATACTGTAGGTGGGATGAAATTAATAGGTGGTGATCCATCCATTTGTGTGTAGTATTCAAGATAGGTAAGGATGGTAGAAATACAACTCGATGAGAAGAAACATTCAAGTGTAGACATACGGAGTCCATCAATAGGTAAACAGCCAACAACAAGACCGGGTAAAAAGAGATCAGGTGAGCCAATCCGTAGTGGTTCCTGACATGTTTCAGAAATCATACAATTGCACGTAGTGTTAGTAAATACTCGAGGTACACTTCGTATGAGATAACCGTTTGACTCATCACCATACTCCAACAACCAATCAGTATTGAATGCTGTCGGCAAAAGACTGAAGCGAAATATTTTAAGAAGGAAATTTTGTGACCCTCGAACATCATCTGGCAGATGCTGAATGAAATAGTCGATGGCACTAGTGAGATTGAATATTCTTTGAGGCGTTACAATTGGGGTCCACGACTTAAATTGAAGGAATTCGTCTGTTTTTAAATTCACATACTTTACTATTTCATCACACATCCATCCCAGTATTTGAAAATGCTTGCTAAGAAGAGGTCGATCAAGCTGCAGAGAGTTGTTTGCAGAGGGTCCATATCCATATAATAGCGTGGTCCATGTTGTATTGATAAATGCACTCGAACAGATCTGAACAATGCATGACATGGAAAGATCTTAGAAATCAGTAAACTACGGATGATATTATATCAAGGGGAAAAGGTGCAGGTTAGATGCTGCCAGCACCTCGGCACCTGCTCAGCACCTCAGCATCTATAGGCACTGAAACTTAGTAGCGGTTCATATAGACTTTTGAACAATAACAGGGACATTATTGTTAACCTAGAAGTGGAAGTCCTACTTTACAATTTGACTTATCGGTCAAGACAAGGTTTTTTCGAAAATAACGAGTTTTTATAAAACTTGACTCTAGAGAAAAACAGCTGAAATCAGATCTTTTTTTATTTCGATTTAAAGTTAACTAAAGATTTAAAAAGTCACCTCTTCTCTTGACAAAAAAATATAATGTTTTTTGTAGTACAGACAGAACATAGTTTGCTTATCAGAACATCTATTATTTATTTGTTTCACTTAATAAAAAGCTTAGGTAGTTTAGTATCTTTGACACTCAAAGGTGAAAAAGCACATATCATAATGCATTTAGCTGAATACTCCGTGGATATATATTAGATAGATGATTCAAAACAAATGAAATGGAACCCGATTCAGCCATCCTAAAAGAATAAACATATAGAATACTTATGATCTCGAAGTACACTTATTGAAAATAAATTCCAAACTAAAATGCATAACGCATAATACGGTTGAAAATCTGTTTTCGAAAATAATTTATTACAGAGTTGTATTAAGGGAATACGGAACCACATTGTTTCTGCAGCCTCGGATCAAATCTAAGTATCAATTAATATTTTCTTATAGTCTAATTTCCAACCCTGATTTTGAGTCGAAAATTTTTTCTAATTTCATTCGTGATCTTTTACCATTAGATTCTAAAATTTATTTGGTAAA